TCATATAAATTGAAATAAGCCAAGTGGAGACACACATTGCATGATTCTCTCATATATGGAAAACAGTCAGCCTGGAATAGAAAAGAGCCAGTAGGGTTGGAGATGAATGGGCAAGGTAGATTAATATATGCAGCACATGTGTACAAAATGTCATGGGTCCCACTTACTAATATTTTCTAATAATTTTAAGAAATGAAGCATTGTGGAATGACTGCCACAATAACTAGCAGGTTGTTACCTCAAACATTTAACTTTTTGGGCGGTCAAAACATTTTAAATCCACTGTCTTAGCAAACTTTTGAATTTTCAGTACTTGGTACACAGCAACTTTCGTTATTCTGTGCAATTGATCAAGGATGTGTGTGATGACAATTCCTCTTATTTTACCAAGTCCGTGTATGCTCTGACTGCCATCACTTCATTTCCCCCAGCTCCCATCCATTTCCCCAAGGGAGAAAATGTTCTATATAATAAAAATCTAATGTGTTGATGAGAAAAATACAAGCTGGGGCTATATTTAAAAAGAGACTATGCATGAAATAACATGTTTAGCCCCCAGCTTCATCTTCTACTTTAACCTGGTAAAACAGTGACTTCCCAGTTGGACTCCAGCAAGGGACAATGCCTGGTGGTGACAACCCAATCACAGGCCACAGGCCCTCTGACAGGTTCAAGCAAACTGCTTGGATTCACCAAAGAAAAGAGTTTTACAAACCATGGATGAAATGTTGAAGGTCTGCCCAAAGATGTCTTGATATTCTCGATGGGTGACTTGTGCCTTAGATGACTGGGCTGCCTTACAAAATGGCACAGACTTCTAGGCCAACAAGAGAAATTTGTTTTTTCACAGTCCTGAAGGCTAGACGTCTGAAACTAAGGTGGCACATGGGCCAGGTCCTATGAGAGCTGTCCCAGGCTTGTAGATGATGGCCTTTTGGTGGCCCATTGTTGTATACATGTTCAGCCATCTCTTATGTCCTCTTCTCATAGCCCAACAACTCTATCAGATGGGAGCTGGAGTTACTGAATCTTGATGGGCAACTTGAGCTGATGGAGAGATACTTAGAAGATCAGTGACGTGCACAGCTGTTGTGCCCGTGAAGAGTCTTCCAGAAGGACTGCCATGTGTGACAGCAGCTAAGTCCAAAGACACTGCTTTGAATGTGGGCAGAACCAACAGAGAGAAAGCTGACCTGCCTGCACAATCTCCATTCTTCACAGAAACTGTGTCTATGGCCCCTCTAGTGTGGACATTGGGCTCCAGTACTTGTCATCTTCAGTTTTCAAATGGTCACTTTCCTGTGTATGTGGAGTTAAAGTTCACGGTTTCCATTTGCTTTTTCCCAATGGTGTTGAGCATCTTTCATGTGTATTTGCCTATTTGTATATATTATTTAAAGAGATGATTATTCAAATCCCTTTGACCCTTCTTAAGTGTGGGTATCTGTTTTATGGTTGAGTTGTAAGTCTTGGACTTATAGACATATGACTTGCAAAGATTTTTGTTCTGGTATGTGGGTTTTCTGTTTACTTTCTTCAAAATACATAAAATTTTAATTTTGTTGAGATTTGATCTACATCTACATTTTTCTTTTATTGTTTGTATTTGGGTATCACATCTAAGATCTCACAAAAAATTCCAAGGTCATGAAGATTTATAGCTGTCCTGATTAGGTTTTCCTCTTGTTTTTTTTTTTTTTTTTGTCAATTTGACAAAAGTTCCCAGTCCTCTGGTAAGATGGAAACTCAGTTGAGAAAATGCCCCCACCAGATTGGCTTGTGGGACATTTTCTTGGTTAATGGTTGCTGTGGAAGGGCCCAGTCCACTATGGGAGATATCACCCCTGGGCGGGTGGTCCTAGGGTCTAGAAGAAAGCAGGTTGAACTAGCAAAGAACAAGAATCAAGCCAGTAAGTCTGTTCCTCCATGGCCTCTGCATCAGTTCCTGCTCAAGTTCCTGCTTTGACTTCCTTCATTGATGGAATGTGACCTGAGAGTTTAAAGCTGAAGCCAACCCTTTCCTCCTCAAGTTGCTTTTGGTCAGTGTCTTATCACAGCAATAGAAACCCTAACTAAGATACCACATATGTTTTATTTTTAGTGTTTATTAGCCCTAACATTTACATCTTTGACTTGTATTGAGGAAAGTTTTGAGTGTAATACGAGGTTGGCACAATTTCAACCATTTGCAAGTGGGTATCCAGATACATACACAGGAAGCTTCCCTGGTGGCAGAAACCTGAATGAAGAGTATAGTTCACATCAGGCAGGTAGAAAGAACAGCAACTGGAGACCAGATGAAAACAAGTATCAAAGTAACAATATCAAGATAAGAACAGGTATTCTTGTTGAAAATTCATGTGTGAAACTCCAGAAGAAAAACAACTTCAGATATGAGGAGGATCAAACTAACACAAACCACTAAGCCATAAACATATCTGGAAGCAGGACAAGATCCTGATTTAAAAAAAATAATAATCTAGCGGGCTGGGGCTCTAGCTCAGTGGTAGAGTAACTGCCTAATATGCACAAGGCCTTGGGTTCCATCTCAGCACTGCAGGGGAAAAAAATGAAAAAGGCCACAGAATTTTGCAGAGAACAGGCAAGCAAGGTGAGCTAAGGGGGAGAAGGGACAAAGGGACAGCAAACACAGCTCTTCTTTCTCACATTGTGCTGTTGTCTGGCTGTGTCAGCTCACCGCATGGAGGTGCTCTCACTGAGAACAGAAAATATTCATGTGAAGTTTTGTATGCAACACCAAGCTAACCCATAATACTCAACTGCGTTACAAAGGCATTTTTTTGTTCACAAAACATCACACATTTGGAGAGGATTACAACACACATCATGAAATTAATACATAGGTAGAATAAAAAATGAAATATTCTTCAGGCCAAACCAAGAAGCAGAGTGACAGAAAGACCTAGTCCAACATTCACAAACTAATAGAGACAAACCTGTCTCAGCCAGTCTTGTTTGAGCCAGAGATGTACTTTATCGGATTAACAATTTAGGAAATGTAATGATTTAGGAAATGCATTTCTGTAATTCACTACATTAACAGATTAAAGGCAAAAACATGATTATCTAAATGGATGCAGAAGAAGCATTTGGTACTATCTAGTGTTCATTCATGATTTAAAACTTTAGCCATCTGGGGATCTTCTTTAGCTTGACAAAAACTATCTACTAAAAGCTTACAGAAGTCCCACACCCGGTATGGAGTCAAAATAATCCTTATGCTAAAGTGGTATGTTTTAGCACGTATGTTGAATGCTTTGTCTGTTGGTGGGTTGGTGTTTGTTTGGCTCGGGGTAGCTCTTTTCCTTCTGGCATACTTTGACAGGAATAGAAGTAAGACTCATTCAGTGTTTGGTGACTTTCAAACCTTTGTGATCTTCTAATGATGAAATTCTTCCACCTTGGTTCAGCAGAAATCCTTCATGTTGATTCCTGGGAGACTATAATACAATCTTTTTCTGGGTTTCTTCTTCGGGCACTGTTCTTGTCTTATGCCCTCTCCCATGTGGACTTCTTAAGTGGCTCTTTGTGTTAATTGCTATCTAGAGAACATTTCTAATTGCAGCTGAATTGCCGTTCTTCAGAATCTTTACAGTGGACAATACGGGATCAAAATTTTCTAAAAAGAACTCAAATAATGTATAAATTTTATTTCTAACTTTTTGCTTTCCCTGAAAATCTGGGCTGCCAGTGGCAATAATAGCGAATATGTCAGTTTATTTGCTTAATATTTGTTTGAAGTACCAGCCAGCAGTGAAAAAAAGCATATATTGTTTCTTTTGTAGGCCCCTAAAACCATTTTCTATGAAAGAATGAAAAAGGACAGGCCTCTCTCCATCTAAAACTAATAAGCAACCAGCGCCTTATATTCCTACATTTCTAATGCACACTCACTTTGCCCTTTTTAGAAGTATTACCATTGTAATTATGAATGAATCGTGCATAAAAGCCTGGGAGGAGGTGGCAACTCAAAGGAGGTAGTCCTTAGACTCCTGTCTCCCACTGTGGCACAGGACAGGGTTTCGCGGAGCCTTCTGGGAAATGTAGTCCGTATTGCAAATCAGGGAGCTCACGCGCTCGCGCACGCGCAGTTGAGCCTAGTATGGTTCCCTCGCTGGGCTTATTGGGCTTGCGTACAGAGCGGGCGCGGCTGGGAGCCCGCTGGGTCGGGCTGCGAGCTC